AAATCCTCTGGATTGCCTTTCAGTCTGACTAAACCTATAAAATCTACATTTAATAGCTGATTTTCCAGAGATCAAAAGATTTCTTTTTACACATGCCCTTTATGGAATTAATGAGAGAAGGAGAGAGAAGCATATGCTTAAATGCCTGGGGGCAACTATAACAAAGGAAGAAATTACAGTTTATTAACGTAATTCCAGCACTCATAACATATTGCTTGCTCTAAATATCCCCAAAATAACATGCACTACATAATCAAATCTCTGTAACTAATATGCTTATAGACTTTCTGAGGGTGATACTTACTAACTAAATAATGGTCAAAATAATAGCTAACATTTAGACATCTGCTTTTAAAAGAAGCATCCCTTCCACCTGCTTCTACAGGCCACAAAGATACACTCTAGTTAACATATTACTGACAGGATGATGAGAAAGCTCCTGTCAGATGCTGGCCAGCCGGGTGTTTGAGACAAAATGCACAGCCCCAGCTGACTAGTTAGAGAAAGTCTGGTGAGGTACAATTATAGAGGCATATGACAAGGCTTCATGCCTGACTGATTTGAGAACCAATGACATGGCTTTAAACAGCAATCCTCCCTACCTATGGTCACAAAACAGCAGTAAGTCAACTGATACACCCTTGTAATATCATGATTTATGCCTCTGCTTTGAATACATGAGACTCTAATACAATGTTCTGCTAGTCTACCAAGATTCACTTGGGGCTTAAATATCTATGGCCTACCTACAGCATGGATAAAATCAATGTTCTTGTTCAGGATTACCAGAAACCTTTCCATGTGTACTTGACAATGTATAAATCAACAGAATAACGTATGAATCAACAGAATAAAAACAAAACTGATTATGTCTCAATTCATTAAACTCAAACATGCAAAAATGTAATAATAGGTACTAACACAATACCACACTTTAAAATATAGGGAGAAAACCTATTAGAATGTTGAAAACATAACAATATTCTTGATATCTGTGCTTACACATCTTAAAATTGTTTAATTTTAAATTTTTTATCTTTTAAAGGTTAAAAATCTTTTTTTTTTTTGAGTCTCGCTCTGTCACCAAGGCTGAAGTGCAATGGCGCGATCTTGGCTCACTGCAACCGCCATCTCCCAGGTTCAAGCAATTCTCTTGCCTCAGCCTCCCAAGTAGCTGGGACTACAGGCGCATGGCACCACGTCTGGCTAATTTTTGTATTTTTAGTAGAGACAATGTTTCGCCATGTTGGCCAGGCTGGTCTCGAACTCCTGACCTCAGGTGATCGGCCCGCCTTGGCCTCCCAAAGTGCTGGGATTACAGGCATCAGCCACTGTGCCCAGTAAGAAATTATCATTTTTAACCACAAACAGCACCTAAAGAAAAGGACCCTCAAGCTAGCTGATTCTCTAATGAGAGTGTCACCACTAAAACCTACAGCAAGCTGTAAGGTTTATAATTATCATTCTATTGTAACTATGAAAAATCACGATTGTCAAAAAGTGAATACCTGAGACAAACAAAATTTCTGAAACTACAATAGGATTATGAATGTTAGGCCACCTTTACATCTGTTCTTCTAAAAATTAAATTTGGCTGTATACTTAAAAAATTTAAAATGGATAAAACGTAATTCCTAACATTAAGTAAATTATAGTCTCCACGATATATAAAAATATAAGAATATAAAAAGCTTAAAAACAAGCAAATTCATTGATAACTATTTCTTCTTTGGATGTTTCAGAGATATCATTAAATTCTTTTTAAAAAAATAGTTTACTTTTAATTTGTTAAGAAACCAGTCCTTGACCTTAAATGCCAGTATGCACGGAATTTATAGGAGATATATTTTATATACTGTATATATAAAAAAATTATTCTGCCGAGCACGGTGGCTCATGCCTGTAATCCCAGCACTTTGGGAGGCCGAGTTGGGCGGATCACAAGGTCAGGAGATTGAGACCACCCTAGTTAACACAGTGAAACCCCGTCTCTACTAAAAATACGAAAACTTAGCTGGGCATGGTGGCGGGCACCTGTAGTCCCAGCTACTCAGGAGGCTAAGGCAGGAGAATAGCGTGAATCTGGGAGGCGGAGCTTGCAGTGAGCGGAGATCGCGCCACTGCACTCCAGCCTGGGCGACAGGTCGAGACTCTGTCTCAACAAAAAAAAAAGAAAGAAAAAAAAAAGAATTATTCAAGATAGATTCAAGTAAAGCAGTTTCCTCCACAAAAGAAAACTAAGATCATGAAAGAGAACTTGAATGATGTTTCTTTTATCAGCCCAACGGTCCCAGAGAGTGAACCAAAGCAGAGCTGGTAACTTAGAGGTGACATCACCATCAAGTTTTCATGAACCATCATAAACGATTGATAGTAAATTGACATCAAACATAGAAAACAGCACCCCCAAAATACTAAGCCTTTATGATAGCAATATTTTTTTAAGCCAAATGCTAAATTAAAAGATAATAACGTTAATTTTTACTCTAACTGCAGATGCAGACTATTATAAAATTAAATGTAGAGGCTGGGTAAGGGGGCTCACGCCTGTAATCCCAGCACTTTGGGAGGCCAAGGCGGGTGGATTGCTTAAGGTCAGGAGCTCAAGAACAGCCTGACCAATATAGTGAAACCCCGTCTCTAATAAAAATACAAAAATTAGCTGGGTGTGGTGGCAGGCACCTATAGTCCCAGTTATTTGGGAGGCTGAGGTAGAAGAATCACTTGAACCCGGAAGGCAGAGGTTAGAGTGAGCCAAGATTGTGTCATTGCACTCTAGCCTGGGCGACAAAGTGAGACTCTGTCTCAAAAAAAAAAAAAAAAATTAAATGTAAGCTATTATAAAATTGTATCTCATAATCTCATATACCTCATAATTACTAAACATTTACTCTATGCAGATATCATTCTAAGCACTTCATATATATGTATTTCCTTAATCTTTACATCAACCCTATGAGATTAAGGCTACTATTGCTCCTACTCTACACTTAAAGAAACTGAGTCAAAGAGAGATTACTTGATATAAATTAAAACAAAACACCAATATTTTTCAAAAACATACTCAGATTTATTTCCAATGCACAAATACAGTAGCTTATGCTTCACTCACATAGCTTATTCCCTCACTTTCTTTGGATCTCTGCTCAAATGCTACCTCACTGAGTTGGGCACAGCGGTGTGTGCCTATAGTCCCAGCTACCAAGGCAGGAGGATCCCTTGAACCCAGGAGTTTGAGACCAGCCTGGGCAACATAGTAAGATCCTGTCTCAAATAAACAAACAAAATACTACCTCACTGGAGAGGCCTTCCTTACATAAAATGGAAACCTGTCCATCACTTTCTACCCTGTACACACACTCACTTTATCCATCATGTAACCCTAGCTAATAAATAATAGCTATTTGTTTGCTTACTTGTTTATAATCTGTTTCATGCCAGTCAAATAAGGTTAATGACTAGAAAGTGCCTGGCACATAGTATGTGCCTAATAAACATTTGTTACATGAATTAATCCTGATAAGAATTAGTTCCAAGGCCTATTATACAATCTTTTTAATCTTGAGGACAATATCCATTTAAAAATATCCTTTTTTAATCTGTAAACAATCATGTTTTAAAAATGAGAAGGAGGAGCTGGGGGGAAAGAAGAAGAATGGTTTCACTTCAATAGTAAGTTAAAAATAGCAGAAAGGCAAATTAAAATATCAAATGAGTCAAACTGAATTTCTTGACATCTCTAAAATGTGTAAGAAAAAAATTACTTGGGTCATTGATTAGTACTTTTTCTCTGATATTACTGCATCATTTATCCACCCTTACTCTTTTAAATGCATATATTTTTCAATATGTAAAGTGCATTTTCAACTTTTAGGGGTGAGCATATCAAATTATAATTCAAAATAAATTCATACAAATTATATGTACAATCGTATGTATTTTTTTCAACTGTAGAGTAATGGAAATAACCCAAAAATTAGAATCAAAAGACTCAATTTCACATTATCTGTCTCTAACTAGCTGTTTGGCCTTGAGGTGGTCATTTAATCTTGCTGAAAATACCTTTCTCACTGGTAAATGTTAAACAGATATCCTACAGAAATCCTGAAGCTCCTTCTACTTTAAATGCTAAAATACAGAATAACATTTTTATTTCTACTATAGAAGAAGAAAACATTAAAAATATTGTTTTATTTATCAATCAAATTTATGAAGAAAATTCATGCAATATTGAATAATGGTTTTTGCTAAATAAATACATCATAGATTACTTAAAACTATATTTAAATTCGTATTTAAAAAATTTAAGTTGAAAGTATTAAATTGTTAATGTGTAAATGAGAAAAAATTATAAAATCTAGCAAAATACTTTTGAATATTTTTCTACACCCAAGAAAAATCTTTATCTTCTCACTGCCTTTACCATATTAATAAACACCTTCCAAAAGAACATTTTAGTGAATGTCATAAAACCTGTGATTTATAAAAAATGCTACTTTGACTTTTAAGTTATTATCAGTCTGAAGAGCTGCTCTAAATCAAACTATTATACAATCTACTCCCAAACCACTACTTGGCAACAAAGATGAATCTACCTATTACCAGGTTAGGATAGCAGCTATTATCATGGCCCCTTGATTTCTTTCAAGTAGCTCCAATGGAAAAAGCCACAAGTGAATAATAAAAATCTCATAATAGCTCTTAAGAATTCTTTATATGGTAGAAGGCACTAAAATGAACTCTGGAGAGTTAAAAAGAAAAAAAAAAAAACTCTCAGCTCCTGATAAGAAAAAATAATTAACCTGACTTAATGCATCTGAGAAGGCTTCCTATAAATCAGACTTTTGTACTTCAAGAGCCAGATTAAAACCATATATCAAAAAAGTATGTAGATATTGTCTTCTAAGCACATATAGCACATTTCTAAATCTGCAGAGATTTTTAGGTCTTTTTGTGAAACACTCAATACCTGCTACTTAAAAGAAGTGTGAAGTACTTACAGTGCTTAATTTGCTCGAGGTAATCACGATGCGCCTTTCATGCAGCATACTGGCATACAGCTGCAGCATGTTGTTCACATCCACGGCAACAAAATATTCTGTAAGATTTCTCTGCACAAGTGAAAAATAATTGTGTAAGTTACAGCTCACAGTGAACGTGAAGGAAAACATTCTACACATTTACCAGAAAGTCTTGAAGTTCAAAGGATATTATTTAAAATGGCATTCATTAAAATAATTAAGTGTAATACTAGTCTGCTGCCACATAAAGCACATAACACTCTATTATTAGTTGAAACATAACCCTACTCAAGGAAAGTATTTTCAGAGGATGATCAGAAGATCTCAGATTTCCCAACTTTCTTACCCACTAAGTATTTGAAAAGAAGCTAATTTCCTGGGCCCCAACCTGGACCTGCTGAATTGTCATCTTTAGTGTATGTCCCCAAGAATCTGCTTTTTTTTTTTTTTTGGCACTCAGGCTGGGGTGCAGTGGTGAGATCTTGGCTCACTGCAACCTCCACCTCCCAGGTTCAAGTAATTTTCGTGCCTCAGCCACCAGAGTAGCTAGGATTACAGGTGCACGCCACCACGCCTGGTTAATTTTTGTATTTTTAGTAGCGATGGGGTTTCACCATGTTGGCCAGGTTGGTTTCAAACTCCCGACCTCAGATTATCTGCCTACCTCGGCCTCCCAAAATGTTGGGATTAGAGGCATGAGCCACCACACCTGGCCAAGAATCTGCTTTTTAAACAAATACTTCTGGTGATTCTTACATACACTGATGCTTCAGAAACTGCTGCCTAGACAATACATTTGAGTCTTTTCATGTTTGCCATTCACTATGCAGGCACGATCATCAACTGATACAACACAGCATGCATGAGGTACCCAAAGGATGAGGTGAATTTATAAAACAGCCCTTTGGTACTTTATTAAGGAAATTCACTTGTTTATACTTCACATCAGGCTTGCTTTGTATCCACTATAATCAAATATAATTTGATGATGTTCTAAATTGATTCCTTAATTTAGCACTCTTATTCCCCACATGAAATGAAACTGGGATAAACTACATTAACTTTGACTTTTAGATCTTCTCCTTTCTTATTATTTATTTTTAATTTTCTATAATGAAACAAATAAATCGGAGAGCAACAAGCTAATTAAGGGATTGAATACGATATAACAAACAAAAACTGTAGTATCAGGTGGGCTATGACCTAGTAGGCTAAAACTTTTAGTTGGGCAAGAATATAAGAAATCCAATTATTTCTTCTATTTCCAGAAGGTAGAAACTTTACCATCACAAATTGGTAATCATGACAGAGCACAACAATAGAACCTGTAACTATCAGTGGGTGATGTTGAATTTGGTGGGAAGAGGTTTATTCCTTTCTTTCTCACCTTCCAATGCAACTCTCCATACAAAAATTCAAGTCATTCAAGATTAGTATATTCCCTATAATCTAAAAGAAAGGTAATTTTTAGATGGGGAATTATTTCTCAACATAGGGTGCTGCCTTATGCTTATTCTCTTGCTTTCGTTTCCCTAAACAGGACTTTTTGCAAAACAAAACATGTTAATAGATATGTAAAAATATATATTCTCAGTGGCAGTTTTTCCTTTGAATGTTTGTTTCTTTGAAACTTTCAAAGCAATCTTCTTTTTAAAATGTGACATTTGTTAAATCGAGCTATTAGCTGTTTGTTAGTAAATGTAAGAGAAAGCTAAATAGGAGAGTGAGTAGAAGGAAGCAAATTTGACTTTGAAACTCTGAAGTGAAGGGACAAGGGTCATATAAGTCAAAGCATGGTCAGTCAGCCTTAAAGAAAACATCAGCAGGGAGTACCTGGCCCACAATGTACAGCAGTCATGACTTTAGGATCTATTATATAACCAGAGAGCTTTGATGATCTATCTCAGGCCCATACAAGAAACTTAATGCATAGCTTTTCATAAGGGTTTTTTGGAACCATCTGTACTGAAAACACCATTGATAGTGTTGGTTTGATATTAGACAATTTACGATTGTCTTCTTGGACTTCCTTCACTAACCACATGCTTTTAGAAATCACTCAGTAGGTTTGAAAACATTTGGAAAAACAATAGAATCCCAAAGTAAATAATAAGTATTTATTGAAATACTTTTTTCCTGCTGGTTTTTCCTTTACTTTTGATCGAATTATTCCTACTGATTCATTTTAACTTTCCAAGGGAAGCTGAATAAAAATTACATAAGGGAATATTTCATTTTCACAGTTATCCAAAAATCATAAAAGCATATTTGTTACTTCTACTTATCTATGTAGACATTTCTACAAATACTAATTTGTAATAACTATTAAAATACTGAAAATATTTCTAGTATGGCTAGAATTAGGACTTGAAATAAAATGCAAATTTTAGCAATTTTTATAATTTCTTACAATAGCCATCAAACCTTGCAAGATATGTATTACTTTAAATTAAAATCAGGAACTTAAGAACGGTTCATCTATGATTTGAAGCATTATATAGAAGGAATATAAAAATACTATGTCAATTTCACTAAAATAACAATTTGTGTGAAGACATTTCCCATTGCTAGAATTCTTCTCCACAAGTAGAAGCCATGTCCTATGATATCCCTTCTATCATATACAGTGAAGCTGAAGACCTAACTGAATATATATGATCCTACCTAAAAATGACAGAAATAGTTTTCCTTCTATTATTGTCCTTAATTTTCCTTATCTACAACCAGATACTAAGAAGGTGGTAAAGGGGCAGACATATAAAGAAGAAAAGAAAATAATATCATTATTCCTTATTTCTTCATTATTTCTCACAAACACAGATAATTACAATGTATTCTATTTCTCTATACAAAAATGCACAGTGAGACCAAAATAAATAAAATTCATAATATAGGAATAATTAAAGTAGAAAATAGAAAACTTACACTCTCAGGTATTGTTGGGAGTCCAGTTACATCAGGAGCAATGAAGTAGGAATGCTAATCAACAAAAATAAATCACATATGAAAGATAATTAAAATTGGTAGCATATAATTTGTAATGAAAATCAGAAAAAAATATATTGAGTAAATTAATAAATGCCATTGAATGATATTCAGGATTTGTTGAATTTGAGAGACTCTTAAATGAGTTAGTGGGTTTATATGAGATTTAACAATTGCATTACCATACAAAAAGTTAAGACTTGTTTAAAAATATTTGACCTTAAAATTAAAATAAAAATAGGAAAAAATCGTTAAGGCAAAAAAAGAGTATATTACTGAAAGGTTTATTTTGTACATATATACCTACGTGTGTGTGTATATATAGTATATATAGACATACACACCTATGCATACATATAAACATACATATTATTAAAACACATTTAGTTGAGGTAGACTGGAAAAATTAAAGCTTGCTAACCAAATATATCAAAATCTATTAATATTCCTGAGTTTCTATGGTAAGTCACAACAAATCTCTTTTGTAAACATCAACAACCCTATTATTTAGCAAATAGCAATAAAACATAATTTTTCAATGTTTAAAACTTCTTAAACATGTAGTAGTCCCAGAATATGATCGTTACACATCTGCCAAACAAATATTTATGAGCTTCTACAATGTTTAAAGAAGTAAAACAGTTCATCACAATACTTACATAGAGTACAATGTGTGTATATGCCTTCATGTTTCCCATGTTCCCAAATTTGACCACCCAGAATCAAAGTGCAACTTAATCATCAAAAAATGTTTTATTTTCTGTTCATATTAATCTTCAAAATTATTTTAATATCTTAATCACATAAGGACATATTTAATACTATCTTCTTATTAATGATTAGAAAAGAAACATTTTGGCCAGTATTTGAGCACAGTTGAACTAGTCAGAACAAGGCTAGTTAACACAGTCATAATGTATAATTTTCCAGGGTAGAAGAACAATAGGAGATAAATCACAAGATCTTTTGTGATCTTGAGACCAAAAAATGTGACAAATCTCATGCTGTGAATATACTTTAAAATTACTACTATTGAAAATGGAGAATATGCATAGATTTTGGTCTCTATAAGCTACTTTTATTTGGAATGGTTTTTAATAGTACTATATTTCACAAAACTATGCTTTAAAAGATAGTACAAACAGAAAATACTGTATATTCCAAATGATTAATTTTCTTAAAAGAGTCAAATTTACCACTTCCCAAAGGGCTGGAGTGAAGCTTAAAGGCATAGTGAAATAAGTGATTATTTTTCCTATTTAATAGTGATTTTTAGAAGCCAATGTCCTTTTAACTCACCGGTATTAGAGCAGGCTGATCTTTCAGAACTTGCTCACAGGCAATAAATATCTCTCGGTTCTTATAATATATGAGAGAAAAAAATGAGTATCTTACTTTCATGGGAGAAGCTTACACAACAATTCGCTGTGTAACTGAGACAAACCCATGTAGCCAAATTAGCCACGAAAAAGCACTTGAATAACATTAATTATAAATATTATTTTAAATGCTGATTTACTAATTTTATGCTAGAAAAATCCTAATGAAAGTATTTTCATATTACAAGAGTAGAGAATGCTGTGGATATTTAATGATTTTGAAATGTTTCAAAAAAAGCATTCTCATTAGACATTAACTTTTTATAAAAATCTCTGATTACTAGTGGCCATTATCCACTTGTACAGGAAGAAAAACTTCCATAATCATTCATTTTAATCTGGCATCATAAAACTAAAATTTCCTCTAGTAGCTGAAGACAAGTGTCCTAGTCCCCAATTTGCCACTTATTTAACAGCATAACACCAGATACATTACTTTAGGAGTCTGTTATTGAAGTCAAATGCAATTAATTAATCATGGTAAACAAACATAACAGCTGATTTTATCAATACTTAAGATATTATAACTAGGCTGGGTGCAGTGGCTCACGCCTGTAATTCCAGCACTTTGGGAGGCCAAGGCGGGTAGAATACCTGAGGTCAAGAGTTTGAGACCAGCCTGACCAACATGGTGGAACCCCATCTCTACTAAAAATACAAAATTAGCCCGGTGTGGTGGTGGGCACCTGTAATTCCAGCTACTTGGGAGGCCGAGGCAGGAGAATCGCTCAAAACCGGAGGTGGAGTTTGCACTGAGCCGAGATCGCGCCATTGCTTTCCAGCCTGGGCAACAAGAGCAAAACTCCACTTCAAAAAAAAAAAAAAATTGTAACTTTAGAATAGTTATACAAGACTTGAAACTATCAGACTATTAATTCAAGTGCATATAAGAAGGTTTAATTATGGAAATAACTATTATACATAGGAACAGAACACAGTCACTCAATTTCCTTTGACAAGATTATTTCAGCTACAATTTAGTTATTTCAGAAGAAAGTATTTTCTCCAGATGGGATGAAACTTCAATTTACTACAACCAACACCTGAATAGTTCTTCATGGTACATCCAGACATATCATTTTATTTGATTACTAAAACAACTTTCTGAAAAGTTGACATGCTCAATTTCTCAAGTGGAAAAAAAGGATCATCTAAAGACATTAACTTTCTTGGCTAACATTACACATTTAGTGACTGTGACCTAACCTAAAATCTTCTTATCATAGGTAAAAAGGTGTAGAAATCTTTAATTTATGATTCTTATTAATAAAGAAGAAGTGTTTCAATAGCTGGTATTTTTGAGATGTATTTTTGTAAGATATTTATTTACCCCTGAACAAATATGATACTCAAATTTAAAGGGAGAACACATTTGTATTTCTCATTAATGCCACCTCCATTGTCTTAGCACCTTTATTTTCCTTAACTCTTTAATAGTATTAGAATCATTTTATAAATATAACACTTTCAAAGAGAAATGGTCATTTTTTTGGAAAATACCAGGCTCTTCTTTATTCTCCTTGACCTTTCCCTTGGCATTTCTACTGTATTTCCACTGAGCACAAACCTTGCATTCTTTGGGTGTCAGTGACCTGTAAGTCTAAGTTTCTTCTTAACTGCTCTTTCCCCCAGTTCTTTCACTGGATCTCCTTTCTTTTTCCCTACAGCCTATCTGGGCAATTAGAACTTAGCCTCTGTTCTATGCTCTTCTATATTTTATCCTTCAAATAGCTACAACTATGTCCGCTGCTGACTCTTAAATTTGGGTTAAAAATTCCAGGTTATTCTTAGCTTTTTATCACCCAGTCTACAAATGACTATTAAACCTTTCCACTTTGACAGTGTGCAACAAAAGAAGATGCAGACATAAAGCAGCAGCGAGGGCCACGGGAAAGAAAAAACACGTTAAGTTGTATGACAAGAGGTTTCACAAAGTTGAAGACTGAGCAAGTTCTAGACTAACGACACAGTCAACAAAGAGGCTTTAGTCCAAAAGGAAAGCATGATGTTCATTCAAGAAGCTGAACAAAACAACGTGACCAGAATACAGGGGGAAAATGGAAAGTTGGATTGAATCTAAGAAATGAATGGTCCTGAAAGCATGGTCAAAGTTTGGACAACTTTTATAGAAAAGGGGAAGCTACAAAAGGTTTTCAGCAGGGGACTTTATATAGTTTAACTAAGTGTAATCTGACAGTCTTTTGTAGAAAGGACTGGAAGGAGAGGCTCTAGACTAAGAACTCTTTGAAGTACTAAGCAACAGAACTAAGGTGCTAACCACCTTAGTCTACTACAAAATAGTAGTGGTTAAAGAATGGAATAATGTAAGAGAACACTACTATGACATGAAATCACAGGATGAAATTTGGGTAAGATACATGGACCAATGAAACAGAATAGAGAACCCAGAAATAAACCCAAATACTAACAGCCAACTGATCTTTGACAAAGCAGACAAAAACATAAAGCAGAGAAATGACACCCTTTTCAACAAATGATGCTGAGATAATTGGCTAGCCACATGTAGGAGAATGAAACTGGATCCTCATCTCTCAGCTTATACAAAAACCAATTCAAGATGGATTAAGGACTTAAATCTAAGATCTGAAACTATAAAAATTCTAGAATATAACATTGGAAAAACCCTTCTAGACATTGGCTTAGGCAAGGATTTCATGACCAAGAAACCAAAAACAAATGCAATAAAAATAAAGATAAATAGTTTGGACTTAATTAAACTAAAGAGCTTTTGCAGGGCAAAAGGTGCAGTAAGCAGAGGAAACAGACAACACACAGAATGGGAGAAAATTTTCACAGTCCATACATCTGACAAAGGACTACTGTCGAGAATCTACAATGAATTCAAACAAATAAGTAAGAAGAAACAATCCCATTAAAAAGTGAGCTAAGGACATGAATAGACAATTCTCAAAAGAAGATATTCAAACGACCAAGAAACATGTGGAAAAAAAAGCTCAACATCACTAATGAATCAGGGAAATGCAAATCAAAACCACAATGTGATGCCACCCTACTTTTGCAAGAAAGGCCATAATCAAAAAATCAAAATACTTCTGCAAACATCAGCCACCATATTATTTAGCAAACAGCAATAAAACACAATTTTTCAACGTTTAAAACTCCTTAAACATGTAGTTATCCCAAAATATGATCCTCACACATCTACTAAACAAATATTAAACTGATCATCTGATCACTGCATCTGCATCAATAATAGATGTTGGCCTGGATGCGGTGATCAGAGAACACTTCTACACTGCTGGGGGGAATATAAACTAGTACAGCCACTATGGAAAACAGTGTTGAGATTCCTTCCAGCACTAAAAGTAGAACTACCATTTGATCTAGCAATCCCAGTGCTGGGTATCTATCAAGAGGAAAAAGGTCATTAAATGAAAAAGATACTTGCACACGCCTGTTTGTAGCAGCACAATTCACAACTGCAAAATCGTGCAATCAACCCAAATGTTCAGCAATCAACAAGTGGATAAAGAAACTGTGATACTACTCAGCCATAAAAAGGAATGAGTTAACAGCATTTGTAGCGACCTGGATGAGACTGGAGACTATTATTTTAAGTGAAGTACCTCAGGAATGGAAAACCAAACATTGTATGTTCTCAATGATATGTGGAAGCTAAGATATGAGGATGCAAAAGCATAAGAATGATATAATGGACTTTGGGGACTTGAGGGGAAGAGTGGGAGGGAGGGTGAGGGATAAAGGCTACAAATATGGTGTAGTGTACGCTGCTAGGGTGATGGGTGCACCAAAATATCACAAACCACCACTAAAGAACTTACTCATGTAACCAAATACCACCTGGACCCCAATAACTTAGGGAAAAATTTTAAAATTAATTAATTTTTAAAAAGAGGAAAGCTATTACCAAAGAAAATATAGTAACAACTTCCCTGTCTCATAAAAACACAGAAGACTTATTATTATATATACTTTCAGTTAGCTTTTCTCTCATTTTCTCTTGCAACATTATACTTTTCTTCTTTATTAAGAAAAGTTTATTTTAGAAGAAAAAAATTAATATAAATAAATTTTAATAGTCTAGCCCATATGCCAAATCCATGAGGAAAATTAATAAAAATATCCATATTTTATTATCTTGAACTTTGGGCATTTACAAAAACTCCCACAACATGAGTGTTTTTATATACAGATGGTACACTTCGTTAAAAAGTTTCAATAGTACAATAAATCCCGTCTCAGGCTTGCTGTCTGACAAACAGCAATTCAATCATATTTCCAGTAGTTTGTGATAATACCAGAAGATACATTAATGTATAGAGAAAGACGACAAAACTTTTCACCCAAAATTTTTGTCACATATTTATATGTTATATGTCATTTTCTATTCTTACTAAGTACTGTTTTCATTTTAGGAGGGTTATTAAGCATGTGCGTATATTCCTTTATTATGCACAAATTTCACCTGAAAATCAATGTTTCTTTTTTTTCTTTGTTTTGAGATGGAGTCTAGCTCTGTCTCCCAGGCTGGAGTGCAGTGGTGCAGTGGCGCGATCTCGGCTCACTGCAAGCTCCGCCTCCCAGGTTCATGCCATTCTCCTGCCTCAGCCTCCCGAGTGGCTGAGACTACAGGCGCCCGCCACCACGCCTGGCTAATTTTTTGTATTTTTAGTAGAGACGCGGTTTCACCGTGTTAGCCAGGATGGTCTCAATCTCCTGACCTCGTGATCCACTCGCCTCGGCCTCTCAAAGTGCTGGGATTACAGGCGTGAACCACCGTGCCCAGCCAAATCAATGTTTCTTAGAAGTGAAATATCCTCATAGATTTGGTCACTTTTAGTTTATAATAAAATTTTTTAAATTCAATAATTTAACAAAATTATAAAAATACACACCCAATATATCAAGTTATGATAGTTACAGCACGTTAAAAATACACAATATTATCACCTTGTTATGTTAGTGCTAGCAATGAAGTTTTCCTGGAAGCAGAGATGACTTGGCAAAGAATTGCCTGAAGGTTCACATGCTCTTAACGAAATTGAGACATAGCTATGACTCCCAAAAACAATTACTGATTGAATACTTACCACACTCAAATTTACAGGAGTATTTGCCTTTGGTACTGGGTGGTTATACAGTGATTTGAGAGTTTCATTCAAATCATTTTCCTAGGGCAAAAGAAAAAGTACATTTTATAAATAAAACATATACCAAGCAACTGCAATTAAAACTACTTGATAAAATAGTCTACTGTGGCTTTTCATATTTGACATATTTTATATAAATGTTTTCCACAGAAACATTTCAAATAACTGAAATTGAAATATGTGAGTCTAATAAATATGAAAACATATTTAAATTCCTTTATCCAGAAGAAAAATGGCAATATTTCTATTTAGTATAAATGTGTATTTGAAAAACTTAGTTATTACAAAATATACTAATGCTATAAAAGGAAATTATCTAAATCATTAAATCCAGTAAGAACAATGGGATTGAATAAAAATAGTAATACAACTTTTTATCAGATCACAGAGTACTCTCATTTTCCATTTTCATTTTAAAATCCCAAAGCAATTTTTAAGGAATAGAAACAATTTAAGTAAGATTATTGCACTAAAATGGAATATACAGGTTATTCTAAATATTTCTTTTCTACATTGCTACTGGTCACTACATGATCCACAATAAATGGGATTAAATAAAACATAGAGCAAATGTACTTCATAGGATTTGTATAATAATAATGTGCCTTGATGTGCACCCTCAATTTTTCTGCATCACACACTACAAATCCAGTAATAAATACACAAAGATTTTTATAGACATAATTATCCTTATTCTCTATTTTCATGTTGGAGAGAATAAATCAAAGGAAAAGGCAATTGTTCAGAGAAGTTAGCAATTTTAGTAAGTGTGGATATGAGACTTAGACTTCTCACGATCTTTCTTATGCCTTGTCTATATATTTATACCAAAACTTAATAAATCAGATCTCTGTAACTACTTTCAAAAGTATTCATTCAAAACTACCTATTTGAAATACTCTTCAGAATAACATGAAAAGCCATAAACAATTTATCTCTTGATCATTTAAACAACAAAATGTATCAGAGAATACTATAGATAACACCAATCACCTTTGTAAAAAAGACTCATATAGTTATGTCTTAGAATTACCTTGTAGAAGGACTGCGAAATAAACAATTTATCTCTTGGGCTGTTAAACAATGAAGTGCACCATAGAAAATTGTGGAACATATTGATACTCTGTTTATACAAAATTCCTACAGGTACAAAAATTTTTAGACTAGTTTTTAAAAATCTGTTGCACTCTCTTACATTGATCAGGTAAGGATAACTTGAACTGTAAACGTTATTTAAATAACCCATGGCAGTGAATTAGAAATGAACAGAAAAAAGTACTACAATTCCAGATTTACTTCTGGTTTAATTAATGCTATAAACTTGTAATATTTCTTCCTCTAAGGAACACAAATTGAACCTCCCCTATTTCTTCTTCTCAGAAAGCCAAAATTATATAAATTTGCTTATAGCTATTTTCTTTTACGTATTCCAGTATTACTGATGGCATCAGGGAAAAAAAATGATACACATTATGGAGATAGTAATAATTTATCAGTAAGAGTTACTAAAAGTTACTAAATAAAGGAAAAGTATTCAAAATTTGGACAAGTAATATAATTAATGTGAATTCCACATGTACATTCACAAAAACAAAGAACAAGAAATTATCATGAATAATTTAACCAGAATTCTGGTTTTGACTTTTGATTGCAAAAAAATAAATAGTTGTATTTCCAGTTTTATTTTCTTAGGCAAGTGAATGACTGCACAGCTTCAACATAAAATTATTCAACTGTAAAATGATGTTAACATATACTTCATAGAATTAAGCAATCAAATACATAGAGAAAAATATTTACATGCATGAACACATACACGTAAACAACTAGACTTTTGACAGACATTAAAACATGCAATTACGTTATAAAAAATTTGGTTGACAAATTTAGAAGAGTAAAAGGACTACCTTAATTTATTAATAACACATTTAAATCCTATTTATATAAATAATACCTCCCTTACTTTCCAAGTGACAGAACTGATTATCTGACTTATAAACACTGTACTTTAATCAAAGTCACAAGGGTATTAGAAAATAAAACTTAGGCCGGGAGTGGTGGCTCCCACCTGTAATCCTCAGCACTTTGGTGGGCCGAGGTGGGTGGATCAAGAGGTCAGGAGTTTGAGATCAGCCTGGCCAATACAGTGAAACTCTGTCTCTACTAAAAATATAAAAATTAGCCAGGCGTGGTGGTGCATGCCTGTAGTCCCAGCTACTTGGGAGAGTGAGGCAGAAGAATCGCTTGAACCCAGGAGGTGGAGGTTGCAGTGAGATGAGATTGTACCACTGCACTTCAGCCTAGGGGATAGAGCATGACTCCGTCTCAAAAAAAAAAAAAAAAAAGTAGAATTTAAATCCAGGATTTCAGGGTTCAAACCACATTGCCAAAAGTCCAGTTACATTTGTACTACCAATACTGCATTAAGCTTCCTGGGAACATTTATAAAGATTTTAATTCTAAGGTGACCACACTCACCTTTATTTGGGACCACCACCACTTAAGGCAAATGAAGGATTTCAGCTGATTTATTAAAACCATTAATTTGTATTCTTACAAGCTTATTTTCAAATCTAGTCTGTATCCATGTTTAACATAGTGCCTGTTTCACCATACTGGGCAGACAGAAATGTCTATACCATTTTAATTGAACTGTATCTACCAAGGCTATATAATTTTTAAAAATTAAATAAAAACTCAAAATACTATGCCCAGGAGGATATTTTGCTCCAGATTCAGTCAATAGAACTTTTAAAATGATGTAAAGAAATAAATGATTGTATACTGAAAAGCTGAAAATAAGCTTTTCCTATGGAAAAATTTAGGGTGAGGAAAATAACATGCTGTCTTACTATATTCCTATTTTAAAAACTCCATCAACAATTTTGTCGATGATTGCCTTTAAAGCACTGGCATACAGAATCCAGTGAACAAAAAAGTCACAATAGCTGGATATTAGTTTCTACAATTATAAAATGGAGATCCAAAAACTGAATATTTGAAACTTTCTAACGTATTTTTACTTATTCTACACCTTTTGACTCAATATCTATTTGCTATGGGAGACACAGAGATAGAACAGTTCCATCTCTCAATTATTACTTTACTTGTGCAGACACAGTTATAACCCAGTGTAAATGCTCTGGAAACCTACAGAAAGTATCACCTAACTTAACCTGGAGAGTCAGGAAAAGTCTCTAGAGAAGTACCTGTGCTGACATTAGGTTTGTTTCAAAAGATAGCTACATTAACTCTTAAAAGACAAGTATTCTACCAGTAGCAATTAGTGAGTGGTTTGTAATCTTGACAGACAACTGTATAGAGTTATGTTCTGGGAAATTTTAGTGGCTCAAAATAATTAGATAGTACATTATGTGCAGCAGATGAGCGGGAGTAGATTAATCCAAAGAGAAGGTCAGATGCCAGATCATAAAGTTATTATACGTCATGCTGCAAACAAGTTTAAATTTTATTCTAAGAAAAAGAGGAGACTATGAAGCGATTGTAAGCAGTGGAATAACATCAGCTTCCAGAAAGTTCATCTTAAACAGAAAAGAGTGGTATGCAGACAAAGAGTGTGTCTGAAATACTCATAAATAGTACCTAGAGAAAAGAGAATCAAGACTATAACATAAATAACATGAAAATTTTAGGTGTAGATGGAGAAAAAAGGCCCAAGAGAGAAGCTGAGGACGTAAGTAAAACGAAGAAGAGACAATGTCAGGGAAATCAAGAAAAACACAATGTCAAGAGTGACAGAGTACCATATAAGAATTTAAACAGATAACAAGTGAATGGAAAGCACACCCTAAATGTAAAAATTAATAGATAATAGACAATTATAAAGAATTTTAAAAACATATTTTATTTCAATTAAATTGTATCAAATAGCATAGCTAATATTTTAGTAAATTAGCTCTTGTTAAAAACATCAAAGAACGGCTAGGCTTGGTAGATGGGAAGCAGAGGCAGGAAGATCCCTTGAGGCCAAGAATTTGAGACCAGCCTAAGCAACATAGTGAGAATCTATCTGTACAAAACAATTTAAAAATTAGCTATTTGTGGTGGCACCCACCCATAGTTCCAGCTAACTGAAAGAATGAGGTGAGTGGATTGCTTGATCCTAGGAGACTGAAGCTGCAGTGACTGATGATTGCACCACAGCGCTCCAGCTCTGAGCAACAGAGCAAGACTCTGTCTCCAAAAAAAATTTTTTTTAGAATCAAAGATTAAGGGAAAAATTTTTAAATCATTATCCCAGAGAAGTTTGTTCATTCAAAAGCAAACTTCAGCTTTTATTTCTATTTTTAAGAAAAAAAAAGCATACAGACTTTTATTGAGAGCTAAAACTATAAAATTCTTAGAAGAAAACATATGAAGAAAGCTTTGAAACACTGAATTTGGAAAAGATTTCTTGGATATGACACAAAAACACACGTAACAAAAGAAAAAGCAGATAAACTGGACTTCATTAAAATTAACAACTTTAGTGCATCAAGTAACACTACCAAAAGAACAAAAGGGCAGGCAAACCATGGATTGGGATAGAATACTCGCAAATCATCTATCTAATAAGAAATGAATATTTGACTATATGAAGAACTCCTACAATTCATCAACAAAAAATGCAGCATGATTTTAAAATGGGCAAAGGACTTGAATAGACCTTCTACAACTTTTGACTCAATACCTATTTGCTATTGGAGACACAGAGATAGAAGACTTCCAACAAGTACTCCTCTAGAGACTTTTCCTGACTCTCCAGGTTGACTTAGGTGATGCTTGTTGTGTCCCCAGAGCATTTACCCTGGGTTGTAATTTTCTGTCTGCACAATTAAAGACCTTCTCCAAAGAAGATATAAAAATGGCAAGTAAATGTCCAGTGTTACTAATCATTAAGGAAATGCAAATTAAAACCATAATACACCACTTTGCACACATATTATGACGCTATTAAACAAAAAAGAAAAAAAAAGAACAAGTATTGGCAAGATTGTGAGGAAAACGGAACCTTGTACGTTACTGATGGGAATGCAAAATAGTGTGACCACTGTGGAAAAATGCTCTCATGATTCCTCAAAAAATTAAACGCAGAATTACCCTACTACCTAGTAATTCCACTTTTAGGTATCTACCCAAAAGAATTGAACTCAAAGGCTGGAACATTATTTGTACAAACATTTTCATAGCTGTATTATTCACAATAGCCAAAAAGTAGAGGAAGCACCCCCAGTGACCACTGACAGAAGAATGAATGAACAACTGGTGTATTCATACACAGTCTCAAAAAGAAAAAAAATCTGACACATGCTACAACATAGATGAATCTTGAAGACATTATGTTAAATGAAACAAGCCAGTCACTTGGCACATAAGGACAAATACTGTGTGAGTCCACTTATATGAGATACAGAGGGTATTCAAATTCATACAGATGATACAACAGTGGTTGCCATGGATGGTGAGGGTTGGGGAGGAATAAGTAGATATTGTTTAATGGGTACAGACAGAGTTTTAGATAGGCAAGGAAAAAAAGATGTATTGTATTGATGATTGCAGATCAGCATTAATGTACTTAATGTCACAAAACTTTACACTTAAAAATGGTTAAAATGGTAAGTTTTGTTTTATAAATATTTTACCACAATTTAAAAATGGGGAAAAAATAGCTTACCAGTTCCTTAGCCAAGTAATCTGCAAGAGTATTTAGAAGCTTGTAATACACTTCAAACCAGGGAAGGTAACTGTAAAAGAATTATTTTAAAATGTATATACATAAAATTCAGAATCAGAAAACAGACAACATAAACATTTAATTCATATTAATTCAAACAGGTTAATCCTGAGGTCAAAAAAGAACTATACCCATTTTCTTTACTTTTTCAGCGAAGTTTTACATATTATTTATTACTAGTTTTCATAAAACAAATCAGAATCCAGAGTTCTATTTAAAAAGTTGTTCATTACATACTTCTATTTTATATCAGCAATATCTAAAATTATTTTCATGGTATTCAATAAAAGCATGCATAGGATAAAAATTAACCATTGTTAAAAAAAATCACATAAAAACTAATTTTATTTTTCAGTTCCCACCTATGAGTGAGAACATGCAGTGTTTGGTTTTCTGTTCTTGTGATAGTTTGCTAAGAATGATGGTTTCCAGCTGCATCCATGTCCCTGGCTGCATAGTATTCCATGGTGTATATGTGCCACATTTTCTTAATTCAATCTGTCACTGATGGACATTTGGGTTGATTCCAAGTCTTTGCTATTGTGAATAGTGCCGCAATAAACATACGTGTGCATGTGTCTTTATAGCAGCATAATTTATAATCCTTTGGGTATATACCCAGTAATGGGATGGCTGGGTCGTATGGACTCAGGAAGGGGAACATCACACACCGGGGCCTATCATGGGGAGGGGGGAGGGGGGAGGGATTGCATTGGGAGTTATACCTGATGTAAATGACGAGTTGATGGGTGCTGACGAGTTGATGGGTGCAGCACAGCAACATGGCACAAGTACACATATGTAACAAACCTGCACGTTATGCACATTTACCCTACAACTTAAAGTATAATAATAATAAATAAATTTAAAAAAAAAACTAATTTTAAAAAGCTTTTAAAACAAAAGATTAAAAATATCTCCTTTTAAAATGTTGGAGTATATAATACAACAGAACTATGTGTTTTTCAGTTCTTCAGAAATGATGTTTAAGAATGATGGCAAATTTCAAAATAACTCAATACAAATATCAAAAAGACTATTCTAAAAATTACAAAAAATTTTAAATGGCTTATATATCAAAACCAAACATAATTCAAAATTTAATTCATTGTACTAGATAAAAGTATAATTTTTATGATAGCTAAATATTAAATCTAAAAATCATTTATATAAAACAAAATCTACATTCCTTATTAAAAATTAAACTATTAGTATATTTTAAATGTCTAAAGATTTTAATGTTAAACTGTACACTTTTCATGTAGAATAAGAGGAAATCACAAAATACATTGTTGTTAATTATCAATTGACAAATACTCATTACTTTTCTTCAAAGCATTAACATGGTACTTTTAAGAGAAAATATTGTGATGCTTTTACTACATAATTGTATACAGATTAATAGTACATACACATAACATGTAAAATTTAAAAATCAGTAAGTAGAACGTAGAAAACAGGATTCTAACAGGATTTTTTTCATATGATGTCTGATTTGTTAGTGACTATGAATGATGCCTTTTGAATCAGAAACTGAAAGTAGTAATAAAAAAGGACATTAGGTAAACTACAGTATCTTTACTCAGCATAAAATTATAGAGTTATTTAAAATTATAATTATAAATACTAAGTAATGACATGAAAATTCACATGATACTTTAAAATATCTACCCAACTCTGGTTAAATCTAACATATTGACTGTATGTATTTATCTCTGTGTCCTCTGGAAATAACTATAAAATGACAATAAATTAATAGAAAGGGTATATATTAATGAAAACAAGCAAAATGGAGGAAAAAACAATAGCAATGCAGGTGGATGACTTTGTAAATAGGGTAAACAGACAGATAACTAACAGCAGAAGAAAGGAAACCAAAACCTAAATGCCATTAGAAAGGAAAAGGACCAGCAGAAGTGCTCCCCACAGAGTTCTGAAACACTGATTTAACAGTATCTCAAAGAAAAAAGCCCCTTGAAGTCCTATTTTCTTGGAATGAAACCCACATGCAATGTTTCCAATTCAGTTTAATACCTTCCTTTTGAATACAAATTAATAGCCAACCACCAGATATCTGAGGAAACACAAATACAAAATGATGTTTATATTGAACAACATAAAAAGAACTACAAGAAAACAGAGACAATTCAAACAGCTGAAGAGAACTCCAAAACTTATATTTAATATCCTTAGAGCTGAATTAAGAGCAGGAGGCTATTAGACGAAACTAAACTTTTCTAAAAAGTAAAAATAGAAAATTTTAGATAGGAAGAAAGAGTTTTAAGAAATTCTAAAGTCTGAAAAAAATTAAAATCAATAGAAAGTTTAGATGATAACTCCAGAAAATCTCCCAGAAACTAGAATAAAAAGATAAACAATCCTTGTAAGTTGTATTCCTAGGTATTTTATTCTCTTTGTAGCAGCAAACCACCATGGCAAGTGTATACCAATGTAACAAACCTGTATGTTCTGCACATGTATCCCAGAAATTAGAGTACAACAAATAATAATAATTTACGCTCGTAACAAAAAAGATAATAAGAGAAAAAATATTACACTATCAGGCCATCAATCTCAACTATCATGTAGCTATAGTCATTCCATAAAGAAAAAATAGAGGAAGTAAATGAATGAAAGTTTCTTTTAAAGAATTACTGGAAATTTTCCCAGAACTTCAGACGTGAGTCTCCAGACTGAAAGAATGAGTGAATGAACAGCACAAAGAATGCTCCAAACCAGAGTATCACTGTGAAATTCCAAAACAAGGGATAGAAGAGTGCCTAAGAGTTTCCAAACAAACAAGTAACAAACAAAGGGATCAAGTTCAAAAATGTCATCAAACCTCTCAACAGCAATAATGAAACTTAAAAGATAATGCCTTCAAAATACAGAGGTTAAATTCTTCACACTCAAGACTTCTATGTCCAGACAAACTATCAATAAAGTGTGACGACAGATTAACAGCATTTTCAGTCAGGCAAGGACTCAAAACTTCACCTCCTAAGACATCCTAAAGGATGGCTAAAACAAAATAAAGGAGATGTAAAAGAAGGAATACACAGATGTAGGAGGCAAGAAATCTAAGACCTAGGAAGAACAGTTGTGCAAAGGCCTCGAGAGCAACCAGTTCAGACTGAAACAGGATGAAGGCTCTAGGAGGGAGATGCTAGAACGGGGTGTTTACAATAAGCATATTGACAACTTTGCCTGGAAGCCTGGAAAAATCTGGACAGGTGTGTGACACATCTGTGACAGCTTTTGAGGAATCTGAACATTAGAAATTACTATTGGTAATCTCAATTTTCCTATTTAAATTACTTAATTCTTCAAGCCCCAGTGCTTAGATGGCTATTTCACTATGTATATCTTCCACTTACAAATAAAACCCTTAAAAATTACTAATACTGTTATATTATTATCTAAATATAACGAAAATCAGTACACCACAGTTTCTGCATTCATGATAATGCAAAGAAATAGTTTTCATGCCAAATCTCCTTCTACCAGGACACATAATCCTTAGAGCACAATTGCTTTCAATTGTAGTCATTTCAAACTCACATTTCAACTTTTAATAGCCCAAAGAAATTGCTATTTCCAGACAATTTCAATGTGTACTGAAGTTCCGACCTAAAAATTCAGATAAGATGAGACCTAATCTATTCAAAAAATGTGCTGGTCTATTTCTATCCAACTCAAGGAGTTTTAAATAAAGCCAAATGTATTGATTGTAGGTGGCTGCATGTCTACCTATTAATGCTTACATTGTCATTTTCACCTTATTTAAATAAAGTGAGGCCTTTGGTAACCTGAATTTTTCTTTCCTGGTCTACTATAAAAACAAACAAACAAACAAAAAAATATATATATATATATAAAACCAACACTTTTCTCTATCTACATATATATCATAATTATGTTATTAGAAAGTGAGATAATCTTTTTCCTTTTCTAGACCAAAAACTCTTAACATTTCTTTCAATGTTCTGGTTTTCTGAACTTTATATTATTGTTTTTCACTGATTATCTTCCCCATTTAATTTCCTGTCAAATTGCGAAGGCACATCAGAACCAGATTTTTCCTTAAGAAGCTAATTTATACAGATAAATATAATTTATCTGTAAGATTATATCCTTGTCTTTGAATAAATAATTGATTAATATACCCATATTTAGGTTACTTTAAAAATTTTAAACAATTTTTATTTGTGCTAGGCATTTTGGTATCTACGTAATTATTACTGTTTTTTACATGTCCAAGAATAATAAGTTTTATTGAATATCATCCTGGTACCAGGCTATGACTTCATCAATAAATTAAACTAATACTGTTTAGAAATAAGCTTTACTCTTATGGGATATTTCTCATAGTCATCTCTAAGGCCCCAAAATACTTTATTATTTCTATTTGGGGAGTATAACTCACTAGTTAGTTATACATCCATCTGGGGGTTGAGAGCAGAATCTAAGAATCACAGAATTTATGTGTTAAAACAATTGGAAGTGCAGGAAGTAATATTACTTAAGGAGTAACTATATGAATGACAGTTTGTTGGATACTTATATGTACTATCTCATTTAATTCTTACACTAATGCTTTGATACATACTTGACTAAACTAAGATAAAGCAATGTATCTAGGGTCACAAAGCTATGGAATAGCAATCTTGGGATTAGAACCCTAATCAACCTGAGTAATATATGCTCAGGGGTCTGCCACAGACAGTCTATCACCCTATCTTGGCATGTATTTCTATATAGCGAGCCTTTTAATAAACATGTTCAATGACCAGGCATTTCAGGCAGCTAAATGAACTGAGACAAAAATCATTCTGTTGTAATCTTAAATCAGCCTGCCTATATGTTCTATCCACTGAAGCAAATTCTATCTTCCAAAATTCATCTGCTTATTTAATATCGAGAGCATTACCTTTATGACCTTTAAATTACAGTTTGTTCATAGGGGCAAATTTCCCAGCAAATAAAGATCCATTCAATGTGATTCTTTTA